TATGCAAAGATGAACAGTCACAATACTCAATACTCAATAGGCGCGATAATAATCACTTCTATAGTTAATATTTTGTATTTGCCGAGACACTTTTGTCACAATTGTTTCTGACAATTAATCTATTAGTATATGATAAAGAAGAAGTTCTGCAGTATATACTGTACTATATGCATACTATAAATACAAATGTTATATAAAATGTAAATATTAAATCCCAAAATATTGGATAATCCTGCTATCCTACAGGCTATATCCGTATGAAATTGCACTGCTGGTATACCTATATAACTGATACTAGAGATTTTTTACCTTGTATATTATTATATCATGCATGTGCATGCAGTGTAGCACGCTTTTCAGCAGCAAATTTTCGTTCTCTGTTTAGATTTTAATATAATTATACGAAAATCTAAAAAAATAATATAATTTCAAAATCGAAAGTCCAAAGTCCAAAGTCCAAAGTCCATAGTCCAAAGTCCATAGTCCAAAGTCCAAAGTCCAGTCCAGTGTTTACAATATGCCCTTCAACAACACATTGTTTGTACTCAAATCGTTCACAATCGCAATAATGAAGAAACGTAAGTTAAATTCGAACTATTGTAACTCCTGGTTGCCAAATAGGGAGCCACAGGGGTTGCAACAGTACAAGCGTTATTCAAACTCAACAAGCGTAGATAAATTAACACACAAAACTTTATTTCAATACAATGATACAGTCACGAAACGTTTCTTGGTAGCAGTTTGCTACGCCAATCTAATGGATATGGTAGCGATAGTTGATAGGTTAGCCTTTAGATCAGGTAGCGGTAGATTGTGTAGCGTAGATATTGTAGCAATATGTAGGTTCGAACTGAAACACGACAATAAAATAAAACTACTTAACTAAGTGATATACTTAAGCATGCAATAAACTAACGAATGTCAATGAATAACAAAACTAACTAAACATAAACTAATAAACAATCCAATACTGTAACTTACGTACTTTAGTTTACACCTGTACTCCAATAGCTGGCTGCTGTGGATAGATAATTGAAGTAGAAATCCACTATATTTGAATAGGTTGCGTTCGCATGTCTTTTTGTACTACCGTCAATTCAATACTAAAAGGGTGTGACTTAATGTCACGCAAACATACAAGGCTGATATGCCACAAGGGCATTACGTAATTATGATCTACTAGATATCCTGTTTCAAACTAACAGGACAGATAGCTGAAAGACCACGAGGCGGCCCCAACCACAGGAAAGTTGATGATGAAATGAAGCAATGCATTGAAGAAATTTTGAACGAGAACCCTGCTCTCACTCTTGATGGCATAAACCGATTGCTTCAGGAAAGATTGCCTGATAAGCCCCGAATACATTCACGGACAGTTGGAAAGGTATTGAATGGTATGCTGTATACACATTCAAAGTTGTTCGGCGATGCCATGCAGAAAGAAACAGACCTGACGTTATCCAAAGCAGACGCGATTATGCAGCGTGGTTTTTGGGAGAAGCGATCCAGAGGCAAATCGTGTTTATTGACGAATGCGGTTTTAATGTCTGGACGGCGAGGAGTCAAGGCAGAGCCCTTCGAGGAGATAGAGCATATCGCCAAGTGTCAGGACAAAAAGGACGCAACATCAGCATTATTCTTGCAGTTTCTTCCACATTTGGCCTTGTACATCACTCAATGCACATAGGAGGCACAAACAGAGATCGGTTTCAGGTATTTCTAGATGAATGCATGTGCTCAAAATGTGGCGGGTAACGAGACGATTTTTATTTATGACGGTGCACCAGCTCATCGGGGAGCTGTAAGTCCTGCTGAAGAAATCTCGCTACGGATGCTACCACCATATTCCCCTTTTCTCAACATCGTCGAGAATGCCATAAGTGCGTTGAAAGCCGCAATCAAAAACGATATTTCACGACCTGAAATCCAATTGGAGATGAATAACAGAGTCATGGCGTGTCAAGAACGTATTCCGTTAGGGGAATACAGGAAAAGAGTTTTTTAGCTGGTGCTGAACGGCACATGGACACAATAAAAATCAGAAAATGCAATGCGTGGTTATTCTTAAGTGAACAATTCATGTAATTGAAAGTTAATAAATGTTAATGATTTTCTGCTCGTTTAAATGAATATACCAAAGTTTTATTGGTGTATCGAAAAATGTTATTGAATGTTTGTTTGTGTTTAATGCGGGGCAGAAGGTTTATCGAAATGAACGACGTAGATTTCGAAAAGGTTAGATCGTTATTTGAAAGTGACGATAAGGAATGCTTACTGGTGTTCTGTGGAGAATATTTCAAGCAGATAAATTCGATGGATGCAAGAAAATTGGGTTATTAAGCCGTGTAGCAAAGTACAGAACACGTCACAAGTAATATTCAAAATTATTCTAGTTATAAATAATATATGGTAATTATACAAACTATGTCTTACGTCATCTGTAACGACTCTGAATGCCATACGCCAAAATGATGTACGTTTTTGGCTTTTTATCCATCTGCCAGAGCGCCAGTTTGCCAGAGCGCCGGCAGTTTTGCCAGAGCGCCAGTTTGCCAGAGCGCCAGTTTTGCCAGAGTGCCAGTTTCGCCAGAGTGCCAGTTTCGCCAGAGTGCCAGTTTCGCCAGAGTGCCAGTTTCGCCAGAGTGCCAGTTTCGCCAGAGCGCCAGAGCGCCAGTTTTGCCAGAGCGCCGGCAGTTTTGCCAGAGCGCCAGTTTGCCAGTTTTGCCAGAGCGCCAGTTTTGCCAGAGCGCCAGTTTTGCCAGAGTGCCAGTTTCGACAGAGCGCCAGTTTGCCAGAGTGCCAGTTTTGCCAGAGTGTCAGTTTTGCCAGTGGCAAGTAAAGAAATTCGCTGCTTTTCTTTCAAACCATATCGTATACTGAACTTAACTAAGCGTACTGCTTTGTTTCAGAGAATTAAAACAGAAATTACTTTGACGCAAAAGAAAATATGTTGAAATATATTGCGATTTACGATTAAGTTAAAATTGCAATTCTACTATTAGACATGCTCTTGCGTTCAATCTGGTTTGTTATGCGACCTTTGTCAGTTTGTCTTGCATATGAAAGATTTATTACTGTATATATGATCACACCATTTTACATAACAAGTTATTTTCTTTGTCTATTGCTCATATTTGTTGAGGAAATATTGTTATAATACTTTGATATTTCTAAACCAGAGAGTCGAAATTCAAAATACCTGCCCTGAAGCAGAACTGCGATAACAACGAGCCGGTAATGTGGCACTTGAAGTGTCACGCATTTAATCAAACATTATCAGTAAGACAGTAACATAACAATAATGAAATATTTTGAATAGTTCAACTTCACGAAAATATATTCATTTAATTTTCAGTCATTTTGTGTAAAGCTATTAAGCATGTTAAATTAATATTTTAATGTGCTATATAGTATTATGCGCGTAACGACTATAACCGCGAATGTTTCGCGTTTGTATTCACTCTTAATTAAATCCTTCATGTGGATGGACGGACCCGCACTTTAATTTACCGTGTCACTCAATAAGGTTATTAATGAAAGCTGACATTTATATACTTCCACATACATCTTGCCTTTGACCTTTGTAGTGTTTTAAAACATAAATCATATCACGGTCATATGCATTTATACATCCACTGGTAAAACTATATGCAACGTTCAAAATAATGTGACATGTAAAGATTTGTACGACCGCGTTTGTGTATCAGCAACGCACCTCGATTCCCGCGCGTGCGTCACGCAACCAGTAAGCACATCAAAGCGCCAGGGACGAGGCTGTTTGTGTATCATTTCAGTGGGTTATTAACAGGGCCGTCGCGAGCGGGGGGTGTGGGGGGTGCTCCACCCCTCCAATAATTTTCACAAGTCGGCCCCAGTCGGCAAATTTCTTCGTTACTGTTCGGCAAATTGCGAAATCGGCATTCAGCAAATTGTAAAAGTTATAAGAACGAAGGCGATAATAAATAAAGCGATAAATTTTGGATTTAAAATAATGGTTTGTGTGGTCTTATGTCAAAACCATTTAAATGTATTTCTATTTTCTAGTAAAACTATTAGTCTTTTATTTGTCGAAAATCGACGGGAGGCTGAAATGTGAAACCCACGTTTCCGGGCATGTTCTTCGCTCGACTGCTCTTATAGCGAAGGCTTTTTATCAATTATGTGCGGTTCAAAACTGCCCAAAAGAAAAAAATAAAACTTCAGTGTCTTGAATGTAATTCGGTTTTTGACGACTATAGAAACTTTATTATTTATTTCACGAGGGAAAACGTATTAACCGGCATAAAAGTTATCTAACATACGGCCCGACGATTACCGTAAGAGGCACGAGCAAACTTGCCATAAGGGAAACCAAGTGCGAGTAGCACATAAAGACGTACCAGCTAATCCGTTTGAGACTGCAAACCGCAGTCAAAGCCAAAGAGAATATTTTGAGTCGTCAGAGGCGCCGACAAGATCCTCAAGAAGACTCAACAGGCATCGATGAGAAGAAGACCAAGAGAAAGACGAGGCATGCCATAAGAATGGACTTGTCTTCTTTAGTTCTTTAGCGAAATTACTGTTAACTCTTATCAGCCTACAGTTTTGAAAGACATACCGCATACAGCGATCGGTATCATCGATTGGTTGCATATGATCATATCCGTTTTACTCGCTTTCTGACGCATAAAATTTAATTAAACTCTTGAAAAATCGGGTCGTACAAAAGCCCAGTTAACACTATCCGGCACTAAGAGTTTTAAGACTGCTCAAAATACAAAAATATTATAAATTGTCTATTCGGCGCCTGGGGATAAAAAAGGTCAAATTCATCAAAATTAATCAAAATTCGGTTTTTGGTTGTAATGCGTTAATTTCTGAAACTGAAAGTACCATTTTCACGTACGGTTCTGTTCACACGAAAACGTATGAAAACGACGTCAGGAAGCAAAAACGTTTCAAATAGTGAAAACGATGCCAAAGATTCGTTCTCTATGTCTGAAACTTTTGGTCGTTTTGACACTTTGTTATTGCCGTAAACAGAAGAGTGGAAGGCGAAAATGAAATTCCGTGTTTAAATTTGGAAACAAAGACTATAAAAAACTAGTGCTTTGTCTGAAAATGTTGCGAGAAAAACGATCAATGTGAACAAGGCGCCTAAACGCTAAATTTGAAAACGGCACTGCAAAAACGCTCAAAAACGTGACCCGTGTGCATATAGTTTCAGTCTCGATTTAGGACTTATGAAAACACAGTATAAATTTATGGTAAATTTAAATTTTTTCAGCTTTATATGTTTAATATAAATAAATTAAAATAATACTCCTATCTGAAAACAAACGTGACCATATATTTGTTTGTTCTTAGAATGTCGTATTTTATATATAAAGCAACCCGATTCCTTTTTAGCAACAACCCACGAACAGGCATCCATATTTCAAAACAAGAGCCATATTGGTGTCCCTCAGTTACTAGCACACCAATATGATTCTCATTACCTATACAAACTTTTCTTCTCATTACCTATACAAACTTTTGAAAAACTCGGCAAATTCAACTGGCGTCACTCGGCAATTTGACCTTCGACACCCCCCCCAATCCATATCCCTTCGCAACGGCCCTGAACAGAATCTAGTTCCTTCGATATCAATATGTTATCTAATAATCATGATTTTTTCTGTGTTGGTGTAATGTACTCTGGTGAATATGATGCCTGTGATGTTACTCTGAGTAAGTAGGTTCGTAGGTTCGATTCCCACCGTGGTCAGGTATATTTTTCAAGCTTGCCCGGTGTGGATACATACTCAGAGTAACATCACAAGCATCATATTCACCTGAGTACATTACACCAACACAGTTGTTTATCGAGTTGCTCACTCATTGGTGAACGGATTTCCCAACATTCTATTGCTCAATTAATAGGGGATCCGAGGTACCTACGATTTAACGTCCTTATCCGAGAAGACGCGAAAGTCTAACCATTTACTGATGTCAATGTAAAGGTAGCTCTTTCTCCTCAATTATTTTAAGACCTTGAGTAGAGGTCCAACCAAGGATCAACCCGGGTCTCCCAGCTTGAAAAGCAAGCGTGGTGACGATGACACTACAAGTACAACAAGTGCTAGTCCCTTCAAAGGGTCCATTCGGGCCTGATATGAGATCAGTGGCATGCCAACCCACCTGTAAAGTAATTTTATTCCTGACTAACAATCCAATCTTGATGTCCATGCCTTGTAGATCGTGTTCAAGTTGCTGATTTGAACGAATTTCTGTGACAACTTGTGCTTTGAGCTTCTGCAGTTCTAAAACACAATAGGAATATCATGCGGCAGATGGTGGTCAAACGCCAGTTATCGGGACGAGAAAATAAAAGAAGATTAACAAGGAAAGATGGGGATTTCAAAATACACCAGTGGATGGCACGAGGTTTACCGTCGGTTATTTTGTTTAGTACTTGAAATATCAATTCTGCTCTCCTTCCTCCACTCAAAGCTTTCAAACAAAGTTATTTTTCCTCAACCTGGTCTACTTTATAGCCTGGTTATTTTCGAAAACGACGTACTATTTCGTAAAACCGATTTAGTTATTTGCCATCTTAAATCTTGAAGTTATCTTGTTGAAGAATAAAAGTAGTGATACATTATAATTTGGTTCCAGAGCTAAGTTGTGTTGTTATCTAATCAATATACACTTATGTCTAGTTAATTTGGGTGACTTAAGACTCCCCAGACCGCTCCCCTCAGCCATCTACTCAGAATTCTGAAAGCCCTGGAAAGATGAACAAACAAAGAACATGAGCCTGCTTACCTAATTCTTCTTCAAAGTCAACATTACTTTGATCCAGAAGATGAAGAAACTTCCGAACAATCTTTATTGGAGGATCTTGAGAATTTACTGAGAAATGAAACCCAACGTTAAACTGATAAACTACTTTTGTAAAGACACTTAATAAATTGTTGTTCCATGTTGCTGTTATTGCTGTTGTTGCTGTTATTGCTGTTGTTGTTGTTGTTGTTGTTGTTGTGGCTGTTGTTGTTGTTGTAAATACGTTTAAACTTCGCCTTCATCAACACTGATCACTTACACAAAGCGCGATAATCATGCTGGGCAAGATTGGCTCTCATAAACGCTTGTATCTTGACAATTGCTGGTAACTAGAAAAAACATAAATATCAAAATCAGTTTTCGTGGTTTTGGTTAATCTTTAAAGGCACTTGCTACTAAAACCACGGAACCTATTGTAGAATAAATACTTACGTTGTCTTCGTAAAGTTGCTTTCGCTGTTTATAATTACTCCTTGCCAAATGCATTCTGGTCCAAGCTTGGATCTATAATATAAAAATAGAAATATATCGACATTGCATCGGAAAAATAAAGACGTTTACCGAAACTTCAATCCAAAACAAACCTTGATAATAGCGTCATCATTATCGTGCAGAACCTCCAGCCTGTCATTATATTTCTTATGCTGTATCCATCGTTTTAAATTTGCCTGAATATAAATTCACGAAAACATTTACAGACGTTCTTAATTGGGTATCTTTTCATGACAGTTGGCAGCTATAATTCAAGCAGAAATTCTCAGCTGTCCGTTAAAATATTTTGTAAGATGTTTATTCCAAATTGCTGTTTCATCATTTGTCAGCTATTATATTCAGCTTCAAAATTTTTTTTTATTTTGATTCAGCTTCAAATTGAAGAAGCAAAATTGGCTGGAAAAACCCTAGAAAAAAACACCAAAATTCTTTACCTGTATCTTGATAATAGCTGGTAGTTGTTTGGTCATAAATTGTTTCCTTTCGTTAAATGTTTTCCGGGCTAAGTATCCTCTCCAATGAGCTTGCAGTCTCACTATCGAGGGTTCGTTTGCTTGAAGATACACTTGGCGGCCATGTTTCGCGGTCTCGTTCGACACCATCGTCTACAAAATGAAACAATGGAATGAATGGTCAAAACCTGACCTCAAGGCTTCCAGATTGACTTTACCAAACAACACAGCTTTTCTTCAGATACAGTATTACGGTTTTTCCTGCAGTAACACTGGATCAATAAGAGATGACATGACTACACTCTAGGAAGAACAGTTTAGAACTTATAGAACTATCCAGTATGAATAAAGTTAGTTTAGTTTAGGTTTCCCCCTGTAGTAACACTGGATCAATAAGAGATGATCCTTACTGGACCTCCAGGAAGAACAGTTTAGAACTGATGGAGCTATCCAGTATAAATAAAGTTAGTTTAGTTTAGGTTTCCTCCTGTAGGGAGAACAGTCTAGAACTGATAGAACTATCTAGTATAAATAAAGTTAAGTTTAGTTTAGGATTTCTCCCGTACAGTAGTAACACTGGATCAATAAGGACATCCTTATTGGACCTCAAGGAAAAGATGATAGAGCTATCCTGTATAAATCCAAGTAACTTACTTGAATTTCCTCTTTAGTAAGCAATCCCGAGTTGTTAGTGAAGTCGGCTGGCTTCGCCCAACTTGTCTGTTGTGTTGCTGTGTTGTAGTAAAACAGGAATCCCTGTGGAATCTTCTGTTCCAACCACGGACCAGCTGAGAAAATACAAATAAAACAGGATTAACAATTTATGAATCTGGATTTGCCACGCCGTTGTTCTCTGACATGATGTGTACTTATTCTACAATACTACCCAGACTGGACCTACACGTTTGAGATATCTTTTATCCCTAACTATCCTGTAACAAACCTTGCTGTCCTTTTTCCCCCTTGGTCTCCTTGAGTCGCGTGTGATAAGCAGCTTGGCATTCTCTTGTCACCCCCCGCAGACCTACGTCAGCATTCTCTAGAGCTTCGATTGTACTTTGTTCAGTCCCAGACTCCAAGGACGCGTTGATCATGGACACACCAGCCGCAACTAAAATGCAAAGTTAAAATTTGGCACATATGAAAAATACTGGTAACTAGACATGCCAGTTATCTGGAAATGTGAATTGGGTAGGAATTGGGATAAACATGTGTTGATTATGTTGATATTCAAGTTTACTTACGTTTATGAGCATCGATTGCATAAAGATTACATTTATCGATAATTCTCTGAATTTCGTCATGCCACAACTCAGCAGAAGGATCGTCTGTTTTCTAAGAAACAACACAGAAACAGATTTGTTGGCACCCATAACAGTCACCAAAATGTTTGTTGCAAAGGTTTAGATATTCATTTTACATGTATAAATGTTTTTATGCGTCTCTATTTAATATTTTAAGTTCGAAATTTTAGCTGATCTAAATTTATCACTTATCGATCTTTACTAATGCATTTATTCATTTAAATTATCTTTATTTGTTTAAATAATTTTAATTTGTTTTAATTTGTTTACCTTTCGCGCTTTCTTTACTCTCTGCAACAAATATTTAACATCAGAAACATTAACTACTATTGTAAAAAATTAGAATTACTTTTAAATTAGGAAAAGTTTTAGGTTTAATCTTAAGGCATTGTTCCTGCAATATACAGTTGTGTTATTACAATTTCCCGTCAGTTGCACGTGAGAAGGGTGGTCCCAAACACCGCTCGAGTAATAATTGCTCCAGTAACGATGCTGGACCAACGAGAGACGGCTCTATGGACCTCTACGGAGAACAGTTTAGAACTGATAGAGCTATCTAGTATAAATAAAGTTAGTTTAGATTTCCTCCTGTAGTAACACTGGAGCAATAAGCCATTATCCTTACTGGACATTAAGGGAGAACAGTTTACAGTGTAGAACTGATAAAGTTATCCAGGTTAGTTTAGTTTAGGTTTCCTTCTGTAGTAACACTGGATCAATAAGAGTCATATGATCCTTACTGAACCTCTAGGAAGAACAGTTTAGAACTGATAGAGCTATCCAGTATAAATAAAGTTAGTTTAGTTTAGGTTTCCTCCTGTAGTAACACTGGATCAATAAGAGATGATTCTTACTGGACCTCTGGGAAGAACAGTTTAGAACAGATAGAGCTATCCAGTATAAATAAAGTTAGTTTAGTTTAGGTTTCCTCCTGTAGTAATACTGGATCAATAGGAGATGATTCTTACTGGACCTCTAGGGAGAGTAGTTTAGAACTGATAGAGCTATCCAGTATAAATAAAGTTAGTTTAGTTTAGGTTTCCTCCTGTAGTAATACTGGATCAATAGGAGATGATTCTTACTGGACCTCTAGGGAGAGCAGTTTAGAACTGATAGAACTATCCAGTATAAACTTTGGATTCCAAGCCTCATTCAGGGTGGGGGGAGGGACGTACCTTCTTTTTCTCCTGTTTCTCAGCATAAAGCAATGCTTGATACAGGAGAGCATTTTCGGGAAGTATATTTTTCAGTTTCGCGGGATCTTGTTGTAATGACGTCAGAGTAGCTGCTGGATTGTCTTCCTCGATGGTCCTGTTGATCGCCTGCACAGCGGTAATTACTACAAAAAATATGAAACGTCATGTTACCTGTTTCGCGAGACTCCCTCGTTTCTAAGCAGTATGCAACTATGCAACACAATAGAATTGTAATGTTATTAAGCTCATACGATGGCTGCTATGAATGTGGTCGACCTGAGCAGACATACTAGACCTCATTATCTATATTTTTGTCTTGGTTCAACAAAATGGTCGGTTCATCGTCACGTGTGTATTGTATTTTCGCCAGAGCAACCAATAGCTATGTTTTTACTTAACGTGTGACTTACTCCAAATATGATTTTTTGTATGTGTAATATTTGGGTCATTCTAAGAAGAAATGTAATGTATCTTTATAGTAAAAAACCTCATCTTGATCAACTTTTTCACTGTCAAGTTCCAGATATGATGTCATTAGGTGAATTTCTGGTACAAAAAACAAAGGAAAACTAATTTGCAATTCACCTAATGACATCATATCCACAAACTTTGGCCGCAGTGAAAAAGTTGGTCAAGATGGCATTTTTTATTATAAAGATATATTACATTTCTTCTTCGAATGACCCAAACATTACACATACAAAAAATCATATTTGTGGTTAGTCGCACTTTAACCATTGTGTAATATCACGACTGGGTAATTAAACCAACACACTGCTATTGGTTGGTTGTGCGAAAATACAATACACACGTGACGATGAACCGACCGTTTCTTGCATAAACCAAGAGAAGAACAACATAGATAACGAGGTCTGTTACGGCTGCATCGAGTTCCCTAACCTTCTTAATCTATTGACTATAACTTGAGAAATGTTGATAGCTTTTAAAATCATGAAAATTCAACTAAATCTCTCTCATTCACCACCATTTAAGACAACTATATATAATAAACGAATACACCCTTCAGGATGATAAGTCACTTTGGTTAGGGCATCGTTTTTGTGTGTGTGACATTAGTTAAAAGCCCGACGTCTGAATCATGAAAATGAGTCTTTATAGCCGAGGCTAAGTCCGGAAAGGTGTATATTAACTTCAAAAACTCATTAATAATTCATGAAGCAATTATTTCTTATTTCTGTTTGTGTGAGCACGGCCGGTTGGAAGATCACCTTTTTTTCTTTTTATATCTTGTACATAATTAATTTTAGTATAGGTGAAATTGCACCGTGTTGAAATATAGTTCATAATAATAATAATAATAATAATAATAATAATAATAATCTTGAGTAAGAAATTAGTCACGTGCATACGTCTTTATACCAGCTAAAGAACACTTTAACAAAAGACCATTGTTATGCAAACTATATAAAGGTTTTTATATAAAGATTTTTATATAAAGATTTTTATATAAAGATTTTTATATATAAAGATTTTTATATAAAGATTTGACTTATTATGCATACGTTTTTGAAGTCATTTAAAAAACTCGCGGGTCGTGTTTTATTAGGTCTAAAGCCACTCGCGCTGCGCGCTCGTGGCTTTAAACCTAATAAAACACTCCTGCTCGTTTTTCAAATAATCACTTAAATCAGCACACACCGATCTATATCACGGTATATAGGGGTCATCATGTGACGAGATTTTAAGAAATTCATTGGCTAATTAGCTCATGAATTACTCATGAATTTTATATATATATATATATATATATATATATATATATATATATATATATATATATATATATATATATATATATATATATATATATATATAAATATATATATATATATATTGAGCTCAACATTAATTCCTTCTTGGATATATATATATATATATAAATGTTCTAGAGTGTGTATTATATAATTTCCATACCCAGCATATATATTGATTCCGAATGTTCTCTGCTCAGGGGTTAATTGAACCATGTTTAATGAAATATTGGACGTTTGTATTGTCGCACTAAGACGACTAGTTGAGCTCATTTTAGATAATGTAACATTCAACATTAATTCCTTCTTGGAGATATATATACATTATATATATATATATATATATATATATATATATATATATATATATATATATATATATATATATATATATATATATATATATACAAACAGGTTATAACACTGCCACGACTCCAAGTGAAATTATTTAATAAAAAAATATATATATAGCTTTAAATTTTCGGCAGCATGCCACCGCCTTCGTCAAAAAGTAAATGAATATAGTAAATTACCCTCCTTATATACAACAATATAAATGATTAAACTAATTAAAGCAATATAAACAAAGAAACCTATTGTTGGGAATAATCATGGCTGGTATTCAAACCCCCCAAATTAGTGAGCATTAGGGGGGTTTGAATACCAGCCATGATTATTCCCAACAATAGGTTTCTTTGTTTATATTGCTTTAATTAGTTTAATCATTTATATTGTTGTATATAAGAAGGGTAATTTACTATATTCATTTACTTTTTGACGAAGGCGGTGACATGCCGCCGAAAATTTAAAGCTATATATATATTTTTTTATTAAATAATTTCACTTCGAGTCGTGGCAGTGTTATAACCTGTTTGTATATTATCTATGATTTGTCTGCCGAGCAGAGTGTGTACACTTGTTGCATATATATATATATATATATATGAGTGTCGAATCATACGAATAGAGTGCTCGATACGAAGGTACAGCAAATGAAAGACAAACTTGAGTTACTTCGTTTAAAACATTTATTCACGACAAATTTGTTTCGTATGGAAAACTAAGCTTGCCACACCTGAGGGATTCACCTTGAGGGATTCACCTGATGAGTGTGGCAAGCTTAGTTTGCCATACGAAACAAATTTGTCGTGAATAAATGTTTTTAAACGAAGTAACTCAAGTTTGTCTGTCTTTTATATATATATATATATATATATATATATATATATATATATATATATATATATATATATATATATATATATATATATATATTTTATATATATATATATTATGGTTTGTGTTTTGCGTACCATACAGGAAACCCAATGACGATCCATTGTACATCAACAGACACTCAAACCATCCACCAAGCATTACAAGACAATTACCTACAGCTATCAACAAACGCATTGCACTTCTCTCATCAGACGAACAAACATTTAAGGAATCCACACCTATTTACCAGAACGCTCTTACACATAGTAACTTTGATCATGAATTTACGTACACTGAGAATGCACCGCAACGGACACGTAGGAATAGGCAACGCAACATAATTTGGTTCAACCCACCATTTAGTAAGAGTGTTAACACGAACATAGGACGGGAATTCTTAAGTTTAATTGACAAACACTTCCCGCTACAGCACAAACTACACAAGATTTTTAACAGAAACACTTTAAAAGTAAGCTACAGTTGCATGAACAACGTTAAGTCTATAATCACCAAACACAACGCACATATAATTAGGAACAGTCAATCACAGAATACGGAAACTGACAACTGTAACTGCGACAACAAAAACACTTGCCCACTACCGAAACAATGCATGACCAACAACATTATTTACAAAGCAACAGTCACAACGAACAACACGAACGACACTAAACACTACATTGGTATGACAGCGACTACATTTAAGGAACGTTACGCTAACCACACTTCATCTTTTCGTCATAAAAAAGACTCAAACAAAACGGAACTTTCGAAACATATTTGGAAATTAAAAGAAAACAATCAGGATTATACCATCAAATGGTCAATTTTAAAACACGCTATTTCGTACACAGGGGGATCAAAACGCTGCAATTTATGTTTGGAAGAAAATTTTTGCATTTTGAAAGACATAAACAAAGACAATTTACTCAATAAAAGAAGCGAAATTTTCGGCAAATGTCGTCACAAAAACCGGTTTCGAGTAAACAAGGTCGTTAACAAAACCTAATGACCCAAGCTTGCATTGTTTCACCTAAGCATTGTTTCGCCTACACGCATTCCGCACATTCTTTCGATAGCATAAAAGCAACCTACAATTTCGAAATTATTCACCACCTGATGATTCCTATACGGATGAAACAGACTGTTGTGGTTTTTTGAGGTAAAACGAAAAACTATATTACGCTCTATCTATATGGTATTGAGCACTGTTTGTGTTTCGTAAACCAAAATCTTAAGCTATATATATATATATATATATATATATATATATATATATATATATATATATATATATATATATATATATATATATATATATATATATATATCGAAAAATGCTAAAATTGCAGCTAGGATTCATATTTATATATTAAAAGATTAAAAGTTTCTTGTCACTAGCTATGTAAAAAACGTAATCACGTTTATAAAAAAGTTTTTACAAGACGTTTCGATCAGAAACCTCCGATCTTCGTCAGTTGATATTAAAAACTAAGAAGAACTATATCAAGTGCACTCATGGCTCAAGTAAGTGATGAAGCTATAATATAATATAATATAATATATATTATATGCATGTACTGTACATCATACGAGAGGTTTATTATCTATGATTCTTTGTCTTTTTTGGGATTATAGAATCAAATGGCACAAACGTATATATTGTGATATTGAGATTCTGACAGTTCAAAGTTAGTGACAGATATTTTTGTTGTTAATTTCAATTTTTATTTTTTTTAAATATAATTTTGAACGAAGCTAATGTACGTAGATTTTTCAAGTAATTATTATGTATTCTCGCCAGACTATGATGTTCATTTTCTGAATAAAACGAACTTGATCAACAGTTTTCGCGCAAGAAATTTTACGTATCACATTTATATATCTAGGTTTTGGCTACACCAAAGCCAATTATTTTTGAGCATGTGGTCTAGTACATTAACAAGGCGTAGTATTTTGCTAGTCCCTTCGTTTTATCTGTCACTTCTAAAGGTATGTTTCCTAATCTTCGTGATATAAGAAGACGTATATGTGGTTAACCCTTTAAGCGGCAGTGTAGCAGATCTGCTACAAATAGAAAAGTGCGCGAATTTTTCGCAGTCTGGGTCTAGTTTCTTCTTTTACCCACAATGCAATACAGCCCACGTTGTTGACATTGTTGTAATGGCGAAAATTTTTACCAAAGTGGCTTTTAGACCGAGAAAATGATGTCCAAATCACAGTGATTTCGGTAAGTTTTAAAGCTCTAAGTTCGTGACAATGTTCTATCTTTGTAAAGCGCTCTAGGGTATAAGTTTTAGTATATTATAATTTGACATAAGGCAGTCTTTTCATATCGTATTTGTGTGTTTGTATAAATTCGTTTGTATGTATTGAATAATTTCATAAAGGCATTTGTAGCATATCTGCTACATTGCCGCGAAGTGGTCACTGAAGCTCAGATTACATGAACATTATATTTTTAATAAAAGACACAACATGTGCTGTATTTTACTGCAATTTCCTTTGAATATAGTTACAACAAGTAAATATTTCTTTTGTCTTCAGTATTGGGCCTCTTGGCTGCAGGTTAAACCAGTTGAACATTATATTTTACACTGTTTTATAGTGTTTATGTATATATGCCCATACTGTGTATATACTATGTATTAGTAAAACTATTGTAAGCTTGATTTTATCCCTTTTCATCATGTTCATGAGCTTCAGTGCAACAGTGGTCAGATCCATATTAAGTTCTCACCTCTGAATATAGTGGCCTTGTTTCTCGGCTGCGAACCCTATGACTTTCTCATGTGAAAATAAACAAGCGAACGCTCTGCCGGAAGTTGTAGGTTTCATCCCGGTAATAGGATTCGTCATGTTTCCTCAAACATGAAAAGTTGACACTGAAGCACTATTACAATTCATATTACAAATATATAGAGCTATAGTCTAGTAGGGAGTGAGCTGAATATTTATTCCGCCTTCAAGGATGTTCATTGCTACCAAACAAGGACAGCAATAAAGCGGTATGTGCCACCATGGACTTCAAGTCTGATACAGAGTTGGGAATAATTGTGATAAAATGGTTGGACAACAACATTGTCCACATCGCCTCCAATTATATCGGTGTGGAACCATTGGGTTCAGTTCAACGGTGGTCCCCAAAAGGAAGAGCATCCAGTGCCCACAGGTGATCTTGCACTGTTGATAAGGCTGACATGCTCATCGTACAGAATCAATTTCAACGCCAGAAGGTGGTGGCAAAGGTCAATGCCGGGCTCCTCTACTGCAGGCATTGTGATCAGTTGAGAATTCGAAAGAAATAAAGCTTGTCGTTCCTAGACTTTGTTTTGAAAATTTCCGAGAGCTTGATCAGTGCCAACAAAGTTGTTCCCATGGAAACAACCAGTGGTAAGCCAAGCAGACCAAGCAAATGAAAATTGTCTGAGGCAGCTGGTCCATCAGTAAAGGTTGGTTGCAAACCCACTACACCTTTACCATCAAATGATACACGGTATGACCAACTTGGACGTTGGCCCAACCCCGTGAATGGTAACCACCATCAATGTCGCCATTGTAAAGATGGGTTTTCCAAAATATTTTGCGGCAAATGTAAGATTTGTCTCTGCTTAGAGAGGGAGAAAACTGTTTTCTGGACAACCATAATAAATAACTTTCATTTTGAACTAGAACTTTTCTATATCTAATGTTGCGAATATATTATAATACTGTATATACTATATATATACTTACAAATATATATATTTATATATATACTATATATATTATATATATTATATATACTATATACACTATATATGTTATATATATTATATATACTATATATACTATCTATACGATATATATGATATATACTATATATATATACAATATACACTATATATACTATATATACTAAATATATATATTATATATATACTATACCGATATATAACATGCTGTATTGTATATAATTCAAGGAAAATGCATTTACATCTGTATGGTATCACAAAACCAACAAAAATCTGTTGGTTCTTCAATAAAATATATTTTCTAGTTATTGTATCTTTTTTACCCTTAAGCAGCAATGTAGCATATCTGCAACAAATTATTTCCCCCCCTGAAATTCAAAGGGGATTTTTTTTTTCTTTTTAATTGACTTTCTAGGCTCATTTGTAGGTTAATTTTGCAAGAAAATATTTTTTTTATTTGAAATTCAATAATTGCCACTTAAAGGGTTAACTATGTATATATATGCATGTATGTGGTTATAACTGTTTGTGGCTAACTGGTTATGTAACTGGTATGTATATTTATATACAGGGTGTGCCAAAAAACCCAAACTATTGAAATAACGTATTGTTAGAATTTGAATGCCTTAGCACTCTGCTGAACTCACAAGTGCATAAAAGCTTGAAATATAAAGTAAATTTTATGCATAAAGAAACTGTTTAAGAAGTTGCTATTTTACGCATCTTTGCGTTCAGCTTGGTGCTAAGGCATTCAAATTCTAACAATACGTTATTTCAATAGTTTGGGTTTTTATGATACAGTGTGTATCAAAAAAAGGTATAGCCTTTCAAATGTAAATCAAGCATACCGCCGTATTCTATTGGATTCATCTGACAAGCTATAATTGCTTCGAACAAGTTAGCGACCATGCAGTAAAACAAATTATTTCATGATTGACTCGGTTTTCTTTGATGTACCGCGGGCTGTATATAGCATAATGCCCTTGAATACCATAAAGCCCTAATTAGTCAAGAAATAAGCGAGAAAACTAGAAAAATACTTGTCGAAATCGAAAAAAAAGAATAAAACTTTGTTAGAAAACCTCTTCAATCATGAAATAAGTCAGTTAATTACCTCGAATGTCGGGCTTTATGCTATATAAAGCCCTCGAACGCTTCGCGTTCTCGGGGCTGTATATAGCATAAAGCCCTCCTTCTCGGTAATTAACTCTTACATATTTTCTACTTATGGGACATGTACGAACAATTCAATGAAATACCCTGTGCAGTGCAAAGCAGCATTGGCATGAAGTTAAGCATGCAGTTGAGAACAATCAAATCACTTATAATTATTGTTAATTTGAATTTGAAAGGCTATACTTTTTTTATACACACTACATGTATATAATGTATATATGAATGTGGTTAACTGAAGTGTCTATATATTTGTATAAGATATTGACCAATGATCAATAAGAAGTTACTATATATAGACTGTCAGGCGTGAGAACTGAAATAACTTGCATGTGATATTACAAATAAGAATTTTAATATCTCAAATTAAAATTGGAAGAAATAAAAGATAGTCATGCAAAAATCGCATGAATTTTACATTTTTGAAAAAAATTAAATTGTTTGTTATACATCATTTCAATATTAACTAAACAACCAAAAGTGCTTCAGCACGAGCTTTAATTCATGAAACATAGTATATAGCAGTTAGCGTTAACGACGTTAGGCCTATATATGTATTTGCAGAAAGTGCATGCATTTGTGTATCTAATCATTACCCTCTCATATAATGCCGCATTCCATGGCCATGCATCAATATTTTTTCAGGAAATGCTACATACTTAAGTATATAGAATTCTATATTCTTATAAGTACATAGCAAAATGTCAATGAACATTGTATATAGTTTGAGTAGTTTATTGCCGGTTATTACTGAAATATCCGATACAATTAGAAAGTTCTCGAACAGCCAACGCAATGGTTCCGTTTTGGCACATGCAGGTTATATAATTTCTTGCTCACCTGCGTAATTGCCTGCCTGCATAACTCCTTGCCACTTAGTGGCGCAAAATCAACCACAGAAAAGGTCGTGGGAATGGGGTTGCAACCAATAGCAATGCGTCCCAAACTATAAATGGATAAACGCGTATCCAAACCAATCATATAGATAAAGCAATCAAATTATGATTTCATCTCATCTCAGGATACTGGTTTGCAATCCAATTCATGCCAATCCATTTTGACAAAGCAATCAAATTATATTAGTGTATGTTTGTATAATGTCCGAAACCACTCTTTATACATAAAACTAACATAAGGGCATTTACTGACCAAAGTACTCATGCATGTATCCAGTGTCATATGGCTTCCAAGGTGATGGGTCCAAGCGCTTGGGGGGAGGGGTTGCAACTTGCCATGCGTCAGATGAAAATGAACTTTTACAAAATGAACTTTTACAAATATTATTATTAGACGAGGCCGGGGGTAAATCGTCTTCCGGGATGGAAAGTGAATTGGAAAGCTTACTTGAACATTGTTTATATAATAATAACCAGGAAAATGTCAACCCAAACCTCATCTGTCGTAAGAGAATCAAGTCAAGCAATTTAATTCATGTATCTGCGAACCCCGAAGTTAATAGTAAAACCGTGTCTTGTTCGTCGCATTTTGTACCTGCTATATTATTGTCAAACACTATGTCGCTAGCCCCGAAAATCGATGAAATTGCTGTATTTCTTACTTCGAATCATATAGATATTGCCTTTTTCAGCGAAACATGGTTAAAAGAATCCGTTCCAGATGAAGCTATTAATATTACAAATTACCAATTATTCAGGCGTGATCGTCAACACAAATCCCATGGTGGGGTTTGTTTTTATATTAACAATACCATTTCTTGCAACCGCCTAACGGAGTTAGATAGTGATAATCACGAAGTATTGTGGCTAGCTTTACAACCAAAACA